CTGAAACACAGGGAATCCTAGTACAATTTGCCCTCTCTTACAATGGACAATCATTAGTTAAGTTACGCTGTCATTTCAGCTGTCATTTGTGATTGGACATAAGCGCTTATTTTATTATTATTATTTCTTGTTCAGCTCTTAAAAGTTACTTAGTCTACTAAGTACAGATACATGTATCCGTAGGTCATAGCGGTCCAACACGATCAGAAAGAGACCAGGCGCAGGACTAACGGTTTTACGTGCTTCCCGCGGCACAAGGTTCACCCCGCGTTCACACTGCCAACATTTTACTCCAGGCTACCACTGAAAATTCCTTAATAGAAAAACTTGATCCGGGAATAAAATCCGGGACATCGGGACCAGTAGACAATAGAGGCAGCCACTTAAAAAAATACAACGATATGAAACACTTAACTTGCAAAGGAACCAACCACGATCCCTATCCGAGTTACAAGATTGAACTGTAGGGCTGCCTTTCATATTGCACTGTAGAGCTGGCTTTCATATTGCACTGTAGAGCTGGCTTTCATATTGCACTGTAGAGCTGGCTTTCATATTGCACTGTAGAGCTGGCTTTCATATTTCACTCTAGAGCTGGCTTTCATATTGCACTGTAGAGGTGGCTTTCATATTTCACTGTAGAGCTGGCTTTCATATTGCACTGTAGAGCTGGCTTTCATATTGCACTGTAGATCTAGCCTTCATATTGCAGTGTAGAGCTGGCTTTCATATAGCACTGTAGAGCTGGCTTTCATATTGCACTGTAGAGCTGGCTTTCATATTGCACTGTAGAGCTGGCTTTCATATTGCACTGTAGAGGTGGCTTTCATATTTCACTGTAGAGCTGGCTTTCATATTGCACTGTAGAGCTGGCTTTCATATTGCACTGTAGAGCTGGCTTTCATATTGCACTGTAGAGCTGGCTTTCATATTGCACTGTAGAGGTGGCTTTCATATTTCACTGTAGAGCTGGCTTTCATATTGCACTGTAGAGCTGGCTTTCATATTTCACTGTAGAGCTGGCTTTTATATTGCACTGTAGAGCTGGCTTTCATATTGCACTGTAGAGCTGGCTTTCATATTGCACTGTAGAGCTGGCTTTCATATTTCACTCTAGAGCTGGCTTTCATATTGCACTGTAGAGGTGTCTTTCATATTTCACTGTAGAGCTGGCTTTCATATTGCACTGTAGAGCTGGCTTTCATATTGCACTGTAGATCTAGCCTTCATATTGCAGTGTAGAGCTGGCTTTCATATTGCACTGTAGAGCTGGCTTTCATATTGCACTGTAGAGCTGGATTCCATATTGCACTGTAGAGCTGGCTTTCATATTGCACTGTAGAGGTGGCTTTCATATTTCACTGTAGAGCTGGCTTTCATATTGCACTGTAGAGCTGGCTTTCATATTGCACTGTAGAGCTGGCTGTCATATTGCACTGTAGAGCTGGCTTTCATATTGCACTGTAGATCTAGCCTTCATATTGCAGTGTAGAGCTGGCTTTCATATTGCACTGTAGAGCTGGCTTTCATATTTCACTGTAGAGCTGGCTTTCATATTGCACTGTAGAGCTGGCTTTCATATTGCACTGTAGAGCTGGCTTTCATATTGCACTGTAGAGGTGGCTTTCATATTTCACTGTAGAGCTGGCTTTCATATTGCACTATAGAGCTGGCTTTCATATTGCACTGTAGAGCTGGCTTTCATATTGCACTGTAGAGCTGGCTTTCATATTGCACTGTAGAGGTGGCTTTCATATTTCACTGTAGAGCTGGCTTTCATATTGCACTGTAGAGCTGGCTTTCATATTTCACTGTAGAGCTGGCTTTCATATTGCACTGTAGAGCTGGCTTTCATATTGCACTGTAGATCTAGCCTTCATATTGCAGTGTAGAGCTGGCTTTCATATTGCACTGTAGAGCTGGCTTTCATATTGCACTGTAGAGCTGGATTTCATATTGCACTGTAGAGCTGGCTTTCATATTGCACTGTAGAGGTGGCTTTCATATTTCACTGTAGAGCTGGCTTTCATATTGCACTGTAGAGCTGGCTTTCATATTGCACTGTAGAGCTGGCTGTCATATTGCACTGTAGAGCTGGCTTTCATATTGCACTGTAGATCTAGCCTTCATATTGCAGTGTAGAGCTGGCTTTCATATTGCACTGTAGAGCTGGCTTTCATATTGCACTGTAGAGCTGGCTTTCATATTGCACTGTAGAGCTGGCTTTCATATTGCACTGTAGAGGTGGCTTTCATATTTCACTGTAGAGCTGGCTTTCATATTGCACTGTAGAGCTGGCTTTCATATTGCACTGTAGAGCTGGCTTTCATATTGCACTGTAGAGGTGGCTTTCATATTTCACTGTAGAGCTGGCTTTCATATTGCACTGTAGAGCTGGCTTTCATATTGCACTGTAGAGCTGGCTTTCATATTGCACTGTAGAGCTGGCTTTCATATTGCACTGTAGAGCTGGCTTTCATATTGCACTGTAGAGCTGGCTTTCATATTGCACTGTAGAGCTGGCTTTCATATTGCACTGTAGAGCTGGCTTTCATATTGCACTGTAGAGCTGGCTTTCATATTGTACTGTAGAGCTGGCTTTCATATTGCACTGTAGAGCTGGCTTTCATATTGCACTGTAGAGCTGGCTTTCATATTTCACTCTAGAGCTGGCTTCCATATTACACTGTAGAGCTGGCTTTCATATTGCAGTGTAGAGCTGGCTTTCATATTGCACTGTAGAGCTGGCTTTCATATTGCACTGTAGAGCTGGCTTTCATATTTCACTCTAGAGCTGGCTTCCATAATATTACACTGTAGAGCTGGCTTTCATATTGCAGTGTAGAGCTGGCTTTCATATTGAACTGAAAAGCTGCTTTCATTTGAAATTGTCAAAATCATCCACAATTTAGACGTAAACACTGGATCGGGAATTGGCGGTATCAGAACTAAATGTATAAAAAATTTAATTGCTATTGATCTTACAGAGTGTATCAACAAATGTTTAGAGCAGGGCATCTTCCCCGATAGCTTAGAACTATACCAGCGCAAAATAGCAGCTTAATACTGCATAGTTTCGTATGGTGAGTGTAGAAATCCGGAGACCCTTTTTACTGGAGGCGAGGCTTTCGGTCTTAGTCCTCAGGGATAACAATGCGTCTGCGTTTTGATTCTTAATCGAGGATGAATGTAAATATCTATGGGCCACGATATATAAGAAGGTCCCCTCTAACGCCTTCTTAGTGCCGACTGTCTAGCCCTATGCCTATGCAGCCGTGCAAGCCATCACGCCACGCCACGCTTCAAGATAAGACATTTGTCTCGCTCAAATAGTTTTTGCATTAGCTTATGTGTACACATGCAACATATATGTCATATTAGTTGCATGTGTACACATACAGAGAAATACTTTTATGTAATAATTAATATCTTTATCACTTCAGTGTTAAACTTCTTTTTACTCTTACGTGGTAGAGCCATGCTGCAACTACGAGTATATTAGTAGTATAGTTGTAGCATGAATGGGTCGGCCCGACCGGCGAAGGACCACGCTCTCACAGAATACCAGCGTAAAACAGCAGCTTAACACTGCTGTGTTCCGTATGGTGAGTGTAGAGAACCGGAGACCCTTTTTACTGGAAATGAGGCATTCCATCTTAATCCTCACGGGTGACAGCGCATCTGCATTTTGATTCGCAAACGAGGATAGATGTAGATGTCTATGGGCCACAGCAACCACTTACCATCAGGTGGACTGTGCTCGTTTGTCACCGTATTCTATAAAAAAAGACATTATCATATTTTAAGGTCCATGTTTTAATCCCCAGATAAAAGTTATTCATAGGTTAAAATACAACACAAACAAATTAAAATTGCAGTTGTATGATAAAATTGTTCTTTTTTGTAGAATAATAGTGACAAACGAGCACACGGTCCACCTGCTGGTAAGTGGATGCTGTGGCCCATAGACATTTATATCCATCCTCGATTAAGGATCAGAATTTGGATGCATTGTCACCCCTGAGGACTTAAGATAGAACGCCTCGTTTTCAGTTAAAAGGGTCTCCGGTTCTCTACACACCATACGAAACAGCAGAATTGAGCTTCTATTTTACGCTGGTATTCTCTGAAGGCCGACCCATTTGGGCTGCCATAATATACCTGTAGCGTCGCACTGCCACGTCAAGTTCCATTAGAATACTATTTTATTTAAAATCTGTGAGCCTATTACAAATTAAACTTCCATGTTGTGTTGGTGATCTTGATCTATCATCATTATCTTGATCTATACATATAGTGTAATATTGACATATATGGCTTCTTTTTTCTGAGGATTATTTGCATGCTGTTAAGACATAAATAACCATTTTTACATTTTTGTCTGTCTGTTTGAGCAAATCTTCGCAATGGTTGAACCGATTGTGAAACATTACGAAAAGATAGAGTGCAATGGCAGGATGTAACCAGACCATATTTTAATCAAAAATTATGTATATAAACTATATATAAATATAAATAACGCCACACTATTATATCCTACCCAGGAGAAGCCAAGCTGGGTCGTTAGTATTAAAACAAATCATTACGTATGTAACTACTGCGTAAAACTCTCCACCCTACTGAGCATGTGCACAACACACTTAAATATTTAGAAATGGCTTATACCTACTAATACGTTATAACCAGAATGCTTGTTTGATGTATTGACGTGTATTTATCACACAGCAATTATTTCCTTTCATACATCACGCAACAAAAAAAGTTTGGCACGCATGTGCCGGTTCGACGCACGCGCGATGCTTGCCTTAATTCAATACGCCCCAACTCCATGTCCACCACTTGCTTTATTCAGTTTGTTATAAGACGCAGATTAGAAAGTTGAACAGTATGCACTATGCTATGAGTGTCCAAAGCTCGAGGTGACAGCACACAGTAACTATATATGGGAACAGTGCGGTGGAAGCAGTGGGAGCAGGAGGAGGGGTGCGCGGTCGGGAGGTATGAGCTCTCCCAAGCTGAGCGAGAGATGCCCCAGCAGCATGAGCAACGGCAAGAAGCTATGCAACGAATCCAAAGAGGATTCGCTCGATAACTCTGTAAGTCTTTGTGTAGTTGATAGTGGCGGAACGAACTTGCGAGTTATTGTTCATATTATTGTAATCTTATTATTTTACTGAGATGTTTCTGTACACATGTGAAGCACATAGATTATTTTACGGATCGAAGTTCATTGAACTTTTATACACCCCAATATAATTTGTACGCTGCGGATTATTTCCAGTTTTATTACGATTCCTGGGCGGGGTCGCGAGCTTCATTGTGCTGGGAAAGGCGTGCGTTGTAACCCTGTTAATATAATATGTTATAATTTATTTTTCAAATATAATTTGACACTTGACCTGGAGAAATAAAGTTTAGTCATGTTTCGTCAAATCCGCCTTACTAAGGCCGAGCAATCAAAACTCCTTGTTTTTTTACTAGGTGTACCTGTGCCTTGCGCTGCAATGCCTTTTTTGTCAGAAACCTTTGCAAGCGCGCGCTACTCATCAAAGTTTCACAAAAAAGAACGACGAAAAACATACAAATATTACTTTTTATTTATTTATACATTACAAAAATGTTCAAGCCAGTGAACTAAGTTCGACTCGAACAAACATACACGAAAGCGAGTTAATGAAAACGCGGTAAAATGGCAAGAATAAGCAGTGTGTACACTATGTGCAGAGAAAACGGTACAATAATAATCATCTCGGATGTCGCCTAGATAATATTTATCGTAAAAATGTTAAAACTTGAGACATAAACACTGGTAACTACCTCCTTTTTAAGATGTTGATCATCCAACGTTGTTATAATATGATCCAGCAAGAATATAAATAAGTGTCGATGAGTTGTGTATCGCCAGCAACGCAAAATCAGGAATTTGTATTTAGAAAAATCAAAATTAGGGGCTTCTTAGGTGCTAATTAGGTGCCAAGTTTAAAAATTAGGTGCTCTAAAATTTTCACAGCAACGAACTGTTGAAATTTGCGTTGCTAGCAAAACGTCTCGCTAGCAACGCAATGAAGTTGTTAGATATACGATAAATATTAATAGCAAGGAATTAAGTGCTAATTTTGGATTTTTCCAAATGCAAATTCCCGACTTTGCGTTGCTGGCGAGACACAACTGTGTCGATGCGCTTAGGTTTGCGTATGTATTGAAGATATCATAAAAAATCCCAGCGCTGCAATACAATAAGCATTCCTTCCCATAGAAATAACAAAGTAAGTAATAGAACTAAAATCAGTTTTACTTGTGAACGTGTATAGCTAAGGGAGTCGATCAAGTCGGAACGGGGCGGCAAGGGCGAGGAGGACTGGCGGCGGCGCACCATCATTGTGGAGAAGAAAAACGGCTCCTACGGCTTCACCTTGCAGAGCTACGGGATTCATTACAAGAAGGTCTAACAATTATATCTAGCAATTAAGCAAAACAATTTGAATTAAAATTGCAAATATAACACAACGTTTAATACGTGGTAGATCCATGCTGGAGCTATATTATGGTTGTAGTACGAATGGGTCGGCTCAACCAGGTTTTTACCAGCCTCTCACAGAATAGCAACGCAAAATGACTATGCTCAATGACCTCAATAGTGTCTCCCAACGGATAGGTCTTAAGATGAACATGGACAAAACAAAAATCATGTTTAACGTCCACGTCACACCTAGGCCGGTAGTTGTTGGGAGCACTAAGCTCGAAGTTGTTGATGAGTATGTTTACCTGGGACAAATAGTCCGACTAGGTAGTTCCAACTTCGACCGAGAGGTCAATCGACGAATTCAACTCGGCTGGGCAGCGTTCGGAAAACTACGACACATCTTCTCGTTAGATATACCTCAAAACCTTAAAACGAAATTGTACAACCAGTGCGCGTTGCCAGTGATGACTTACGGATCTGAGACGTGGTCCTTCACTGTTGGCCGTATGAGGAAGCTCAAGGTCGCCCAGCGAGCTATGGAGAGGGCTATGCTCGGGGTTTCTCTGCGTAATAAACTTAGAAATGAGGATATCTGTAGTAGAACCAGAGTAACCGACATAGCCCAACGGATTAGTAAGCTGAAGTGGCAGTGGGCCGGCCATATAGCTCGAAGGACCGACAACCGATGGGGAAGAAAGGTTCTCGAGTAGCAGCCGCGGTAAGATACCGGTAGACGAAATGTAGGGCGTCCCCCACTAGATGAAGTGACGACCTGATAAGACATTCATGAAGTCGATGGATGCAGGTGGCTCAGGATCGTGCTTTGTGGCATTTCTTGGGGGAGGCCTATGTTCAGCAGTGGACTAATGAAAGGCTGTAATGATGATGTGATGATGTCGGCTCGGTTGCACAGTGGTAAAGCGTTTTTAAATGTTAATAATTACATAGACACATATTTTGCCTTGTCCTTTATTATAACTAATTACTATAATTAGGATCCGTAGTTAATTGCGATTGTTGTAAGGCGGTGACAGCCTTGTTAGTCTAGAAAGCGTAAACGCGACTGCTGTTCATAAGGCCCCGGGTTCGAATCCCGGATCGGTAAAAAATAAGCTATTGGGTTTTTCTGTCAAAAAACTCTCAATAGCCGCCCGGATTCAGAAAGTTGGGCGGTGTTTCACCCTCGAGTCTCGGAAAGCACGTAAAGCCGTTGATCCTGCGCTTGATCTCTCTCTGGTCGTGTAGGTTTATCACTCCAATCTCACTCTACTCACTCTTATCGTTCGATTGGACGAGTAAGAGAATAGAGAGTGCATCTGTGCTTGCGCATATACTTGGGCACTATAATCCTGTCCTGCGCCGATGGTCTCCGTCGAGGCTGGCCACCATGACCGAAATTCGGTCTGGAGGACATAATTATTTTTATAAATTCGCTACAATTAGGGTTCGTAGTTACTTGCGATTGTTGTAAGGTGTTGACGAGGCAGAGAATACAGAGGTATTAATTCAAATTTGTAATTTTCAGGAACAAGAGATCGAAGTGATCACGTACGTGGACCACGTGGAGGACGAGGGTGCAGCAGCGGCCGCCGGCATGCGGGAAGGTGACGTGATCCTGTGCATCAACGGCATCGACGTGGAGCACGCCGACCACGCCACCATCGTGGAAGCCATCAACTCTTGTGACGCGCGCATGCGCATTGTTGTCATCTTCGAGGATTGCGTGCGGAAGGTCGAACTCCACCTCAAGTACATCAATATACAGAGAGCCTTGCAAAGTAAAATGCGAGAATTAGAACAACTCTCCATAAGAGAACGACAAGTATTTGATTCAAATTGGAAAACTCATAGTCTGCCTTCGCAGAAAAAGAAGACGTCACCAACCGACGCCATCTCCGATACTGAAGAGAACGCGGAAGACAACTTGGGCAGCGGGTACTGCAGGGCTACGCTGTCCAGTGAGAACGTCACCAACGCCAAACCTCCGCAGGGCAGTGTATTTATGTACCAGTATCTCGATCCGCGATACGGGACGTGCATCATTCAACCAAACTTGCGGACGGGTAGCTTCGTTATCACGGTAGGCTCGCCGAGAAACAGGCGCGAGTGTCACCACTGCGTCATGAAAGCTGCCGGCGAGACTCACCGGGCTCCCGAAGCCCACAAATATAGTAACGGGAAACATGGCAAAGTTCACAAGAACCACAGCCATGGCTGTGGCCCCTGTATGCCCCCATACAACAGTCAGGACGCCAACAGCCTCGAGGCGTACGATCTGGCTAGTCCTTGCTGTGACCCGCACTGTGTTCCCAACTCCAGAAAAAAGGTACGGCGGAAAAAGGAATGTTCGAAGGAACACAAGAGGAAAGAAAAGTGTCAGCAAGTTGATAAATCGACGCAAAAGACGGACGGCTGCGCGCACTCGCATTCGAAGAAGACGTGTTCGTCAGGCCAGTGCTCGGGCCGGTACCGCTACCTGACCACGGAGTCCACACAGACCAGCCAGTGCAGTCTCCAATCCTACACAACAAGCAACGTCACGATCCCCTGCGACAACTCGGCGTCGAGTTACAGCACTTCACTCAGTAGCGACACTCTGTTCTGGGATAACGACCGATCAGAGGCCAAATCTTCGCCGAAGATCCAATATCAGAGCTCACATCAGCACGTGAAGCCCAAGTCGTGGGACAATTTGACAACAAAAGCGTTCGGGGGATACGGTTTTGGATATGGCTATCTGGATACGACCGTCAAGCACACGAACAGGTCGAAGAGCCACGGGCGGAGTCACAGCGGCCGCAGCACGCAGAGCCATCACGAGTACCACCACGCGCAGGAGAAGCACCAGCACAGGCAGAGCGCCACGCCGCACCACTACCCCGTCTACAGCAGGAGCCAAAGTCACTGCCAACCGACCAAGTCAACCGAGAGCCTTATTGTAGTGCCCAAGTATCAGATGGATGGTAGCGGCTCCGAGAGCCGTATCGCGTGCGAGTGTGTGGAGTCGGTAGAATATTACCGCAGAGTGGGATCTTCAAAGAGCTCCGGCGAGACCCATTCAGGATACTATTCGCAGCGTATCGTCTACTCTACGCACGCGTACAAGAAAAAAGACTCCAATGTAAGCTCAGAAATAACTAGATTATAAGCAATAATGGAAACGATCACTGCTCAAATTGATGCCTAATTGTAATTTTGAAACGACCTAGTATTTTATATTAAATTAAGGAAATATTATACAGTCTTACGCACACTGAGCGCAGCGCAGCATTGTTACATTTAGGTCGAGATAACAATAGAGACGAAGTTCGGTAGATGACGTGTGGAGAACGCTAAGTGTTAAACGATAACCCCATTTACAAAATATAGAAAGAGGGCAGAATGTATAGAAATGTGATGATTAATGCGAGAACTATAGCACTGAGTTTGAATTTGGTTTAGACTGCTTAACTTGAATGTTCCTCAAAAATCAAATTCGTAAGAAGGAAACCGCGTGGTACACGACAATCAGACGTTATTTCTGACGATCACGAGATGATAAAAGAAGTAGATTGTTATTGGTAAAAGTTAAATCAACCCAAAGTGTACTTCTTTACAAACAAACCATGTTTTAATATTATTCTATGATATATTTATAGGTAATGTTGTTTATTGAAGCGAGGGAAGTCTCTCGAGTGGAACTCATCCCGCTCCGTAGTTCTCAGTGTGCGCAACTTTGTATTAATCGCTTTATACTTGTTGATTTATAGTTTTAATAAAAAATATATAAAAATTTGATTATTGTCTCAATTACCAGTTAAACACGTGCATTAAAATTTCATAGTACAGAGCTCCCAAGAATATTGGACTGGTGTTTTGCTATTTGATAGCATAAATAGTTAAGAGCTAGTTACCTACCTAGATCGACGCCTTGTTAGAACCTCTTAGTAACTAATGACTAGTACCCGATAGACTCCGGCAACAGGCATTGGGTGTAGTGCGAGTTCCTGGTTCCCAAGCCCCCTCAGGAGTGAGAGAAGACCTGCCCTATACTTTATATATAAATAGCAGAATATGGTACCTATAAACACGTCAGTTCAAAGCTAAGAACGATATTATACCAAATTCAACCAATAGGTTCCGTGCTGTTATCTAAATTCCGTGAAATTTAGTATTAGAATATAGAAAAATGTAGTTAAACTGCTCTTAAATTTAAGTATTTTCTTATTAATTTTCACTAGTCTTGCCCAAAATCGGTCTTGTTCTTGCATTTTTGCAAGACCAAGACCAAGAACAAGACCGCCTCTTTTTAGCAAGACCAAGACCAAGACTGACCGTGCAAGATTTGCGCAAGAACAAGACTTAGCTTGCGAGACTCTTGCGTCTTGCAGTTAGGACTAAGTGTCGTTTCAGGGAGTATAGGAGTTCGGGTATACGCTTAGGGACTCTATGAGACGCAAAAAAATATAATGAAAAAAAATTGGAAAATTGGACATAAGTCCATAACGTTTGTTTTTTTGGGCATTGGGCATAAGCGCATTACGAACAATACCATAAATATACATAGCGAATGAAAATATCCATTAAAAGAAAAAAGAGTGCATCCCTAGTTTTGACCATCGGCACTTTGATCGTTCGCGGCGTCTTGTTGTCGGCGTCATCAAAGGTCGGATACTGACCTGTTAAAGAAATTGTGCAGCTATTCGAAAGTACAAGGTCAAGATACACGTGCCGGCGGCTACTATTGATATCGCATACAATCGTCGCCGCCGCGCCGCACGCACTACATTTGACACTGTTCACCGCCACAGAGTACATGTTTCAAAGAATAAAATAAGTTTCCGGGTGCTCAGAATGGACAGAATAGAATAGAATAGAATGATTTTTTATTCAATATGGATTATTACATAATACTTATTGAAAGTCATTATTTTATTTACCACTGGTTCGGAAAATACCTCTGTCCTGGGAAGAACCAGCAAGAAACCCAGCGGGACTTTTTTTTTTAAACATAATTTCACTTAACAATAATTTTGATTATACAATTTTAAATGAATTTTCATAGAACCAGCATGGTGGCGATCACCTTATTCCCAGGGGTTATTTTCACTCATGTATTCCTTGATATTATAATAACCCTTTTTGTACAGTTTTTCTTTAATAAAACTTTTAAACTTGTTTATTGACAAACTTTGAACATGTTCTGGGATTCTGTTGTAAAAGCGTATACATTGCCCCATAAATGAATTACTAATTCTGTGGAGTCTTGTAAGTGGCATTACAAGCTTATGTTTGTTCCTAGTGTTTAAGGTATGAACATCCTTATTCTTATTAAAGCTATTTATGTTTTTATGTAATTACATTACATTTTCATAAATATATTGCGATGCCAAAGTTAATATGTTTATTTCTTTAAATTTTTCTCTAAGGGACTCTTTAAAATTTAGATTATAAATCGCCCGTACGGCTCTCTTTTGCAAAACAAATATAGCTTCAATATCAGTCGCATTACCCCATAGCAAAATTCCATAAGACATTACGCTATGAAAGTAACTAAAATACACTAACCTAGCTGTCTCAACATCTGTGAGACTTCTAATCTTTCTTACAGCATATGCTGCAGAACTAAGTCTGCTTGCTAATTTAGATATATGGGGGCCCCATTGAAGTTTCGCGTCAATAGTAATACCGAGAAAAACAGTGGTATCCACAAGACTCAACTCCTCCCCATTTAAGAGCACATTGGTTTTCGAATGTTTTACATTAGGTATTGTAAATTTAATACATTTTGTCTTATTGCCGTTTAAGAGCAAATTGTTGGCGTTAAACCAATGTACTAGTTTCGATAGAGCATTATTTACATCGTCATATTTAATTGACTGCCGTTTCAGTTTGAAAATTAAAGAGGTATCGTCAGCAAATAATACTATATCGTGATTGTCCCCTACAAGATAAGGTAAGTCATTAATATAGATTAAGAACAGGAATGGGCCAAGAATCGAGCCCTGAGGAACGCCCATTGATACTACCGATCCGGAGGAACATTTACCATTAATGACGACTTTTTGAGTTCTGTTACTTAAATATGAAGTAATAAGTTTAAGCGCCAAATTTTTTACACCGTAATGTTGTAGTTTCCTGATTAATGTATCATGATGAACACAATCGAAAGCCTTGGAAAGGTCACAGAAAATACCTAAGGCATCTTGTGAATTCTCCCAGGCATTAAAAATATATTTCATAAGCTCAACACCGGCGTCAGACGTCGAGCGACCCCTTGTAAAACCAAATTGATTTTTATGAAGTAATTTATTTGTATTAAAAAAAATTAACAATTGATCCAAAATTATTTTTTCAAAAATTTTACTGAGAGTTGGTAGTACAGAAATAGGTCTATAATTAGCGGGGTCCAATGTACTACCAGATTTAAATAAAGGTATTACTTTACTATACTTCATTAAATCAGGAAACACACCAGAATCGATACAAGTATTAAAAATAATAGCAAGATGAGGTGCAATTAAATCTATTATGGACGTAATCACTGTAACGGAAATCCCCCACAAATCTGCGGTTTTCTTTACATCAATGGTTTTGAAGTATTTTACAATATTATGCGGTAATACTTTTTCAAATCTAAATTCTTTTAAACAGGTATTAACATTCTGTTTAAGTAATGATTCGGCGACAGTTGGAGAAGCATTCAATGACTCTGTTGTCAAGATAGGAACATCAGTGAAATATTTCTCAAACACCGCTGCAACTTCTTGATTTGATTTAGTCAATTCATTATTAATTTTTAATTGATAGTTTGAATTACGAGGTTTCTCATTACCGGTTTCGCTGTTAATTATACTCCACGTCATTTTAATTTTATTCTTAGCTGTCTTAATTTTGTTACTAATATGTAATGATTTGGCTGTGGAGCAAACTCTTTTAAACATTTTAGAATAATTTTTTACATATTCTTTAAAAGCATCGGAAAGATTATACGATCTTTCATGGTAAAGGTCATATAACCTTCGTCTGCTTTTATGAATTCCTACTGTCGCCCACTCATTAAATGCCTTGCGACTGTTTCTGGAGAATGTTTTAGAAGTGAATGTTTTATTAAATTCATTGTTTATAAAGGTAAATAATTCTCTATATAAATAGTCTGCATTGTTCTTATAAGAAAGGGATGGAAGGATTTTTAACATATTACTTCTAAATCTCTCCAGGCGTTTTGCATTAATAGGAACAAACACAATTTTCTCATTTACCTGTTTTTTGTGCATATAAGGTAACGAAACCAGTTGTCCACAGTGATCTGAACTAAGTTTTTGTATTATTGATTTGTTGATTGGTACAACACCTGTAAAAATATTATCAATACAAGTTGCACTACACCCTGCAATACGTGTAGCTTCAAAGAATAAATTATTAAGATTATAGGATTTGAACAAAGAACAGAATTTAATACTGATGGAAGAAGTTTCCAGGAGATTGATATTAAAGTCTCCACACACTACAAGAGATTTATTCTGTTTATTAAGCTTAACTAAAACTTCTTCCATAATTTTTTCAAAAGTATCATAACTTGAACATGGGGGTCTGTAAACACTGACAACAATAAGGTGCTCAAGCTCAACACATGCCATTTCTACAGTACGCTCAACAGAGAGGCTCACAATGTCTTTACGTTCTTTACATGATAAGGACTTATTAGCTAATATTAAGGAGCCACCACGTAATTTAGTATCTCTATTGAACGAACTGACCACCTGGTGATTACTGAAATTAAATATGGAGTTGTATTCTTTCAACCAATGTTCTGTAATACATAAAATATTTATACTGTTACTATTTAAAAATAAATCAATTTCTAATTCTTTGCCTAACATACCTTGTATATTTTGATGCACCAGGTTGATACAGTTTTTATTATTGTTATTTTGTAAAATTGCATAATTATGTATTGGTAAGTTGCATTCTAAGCTATTTAAATTATCTTTGCTAGAGATTACCTCTATTGTCTTATTATCTAATTTAAATTACTTGGAACTGGTTCCAAATCAAATATAAAATTATTTTGTTGCTCAAAAGAAGCAGGTGTCAAGGTAGCCAAATCATTGGCTGAGTTAAAATATAAATAATAAGATAGCGTATTTGCTACCAGTCTTAAACTAT